AAGTTATTGTTGCAGATGTAGTCAGTGTATCCCAGATGAGGAGATGCAGATTCAGTATGAAGATGGCATTTTATACATACACATATATATATGTACATAATAATTATGTTTATATATATTATGAAGTCAGATATATGGATCCTCTCTTCTTCCGGTAACATTTGCTAAGCCCATTCTGTTCCTTTCCCTTTCTCTTACCACATATTGATGTATTTGCCTTGCTTTTAATTCTGATTCTTATTGGGTAATTTTGTCTATTGCTTACATGTCATTTTAACTAAATGCAAAAGGCAATGAGGATAACAAAAATCAAAATGGACAGACAGTTATCACTGGCATGCAATTTTAATTTATTGTTGCCGATAGTAATATGAACGGAGAACTGCTCCCTTAGTCATCAAAAATATAGTGTGGTATTTTGGGTGATGGCAATATTCATACTGGCACACTAAAAGGCTCCATGCTCTTTCAGTCTGTTTTTTGAATATCCTGCTACTTGGATAAGCACTGAAAGTAATTCTTCCCTAAAACACCAGAGCAGGACCACATCATGAAGTTGGAGGAAAATATTTTGCCCCTCTTCTCCCATTGGGACTGCTTCCAACAGCAGCCTGTAAAGTCTGAAGTTGTCTGACTCCAGCAGAGTGATTTCAAAAGAAAGAAGCTTACTTGCTCCAATTTTTGCAGGCATCAGTGATCTAACCCAAAGTCTCTGCAGAAAGAGAATATATCTCTTGTGAAGACATTTATTCCTTGTTCTGCAAGGAAAAAAAATCCAGTTTATCAACTTAGAGTATCCTCAATTACCTTTTGGCTGATTGTCACAAATTAAAATACCATGAAGTATATGCATGCTAGGGTGAAATTCTGAAAAGTAAGAAGAGGGGATGCAACAGAAGAAGCAAGATAGGAGTTCAGGAAGTACATCCTTGAGGCTGATACTGCATCTGAATCCAGAGCTTCAGGTTTTCCTCCTGCTTTGTCAGATTTCAACCCTGAATATTTTCTTTACTAAGAAAAAAAATCTCCAGTGTTGTAAAATACGTATATTGGCTCTGTGTCACACATTCAGTTCCTCCTATCTGTCAGCAAAGGAATTGCATCTTCAGCTAAGCAGTCCCTATTAGCAGTGCCCAATCTACCACGATAAAGGCCCTCTGGGGTATTTTGATTTATGCTGGTCTTTTCCAGACATCAAAATAGGAAGAGTAGTAGCCTCGTAGAAGCTATCACTGTCACATCTGCTATCAAGAGTTCCACAAGTGGCTCCAGATTGTGGCCTTTGTGTGTTCACATTTCCAGCAGGACAGCTGAGTCTTTATATGCTGCTGCTAGAGGTAGACTGCAAGGGTACAAAGTGTGTGAAAGGGAGAAAAGGGAATGCAAAGAGACCACCCAGTTATGCTGGGAATGGCACTGATAGAGTCACTAGAGTGGAAGCCAACAGGCTTAATCTAGTCATCACACAGGTAGGCAAATTCATCTTTTTCTTACTTGCAAAGAACTAGACCAGATTTGCTGCTGTGGCTTCTATTCTCCCACAGCTACTAGCAACGAAGGATCCCAGAAGAAAAAAGGGGTCCCATGGCTGTCTACGTTGGACTTTCCTGTATTTGCTATCTTTGTTACTGTTCGTACTTGCCTTTCACAAGTAATATTTTAGTTCATAAAGAGAATGATGCAAAGTCCTTAGACACCATTATTGCTACACCAGTAAAGTGATACCACAACACCATGTCAGATGTTAGGATATACTCATCCCTAATGACCCTCTTTTCCAGCAGAGTATATAGTCTGACTTCTTTCAAGCAGACACATTTTAATGGGAGAAGACCAGTGGCTTGAGGGACAGACAAGGTAAAATTTTACATAATATTTAAGTGCATGAGTGCATTTTTAGCTCATAAGGTCAAGTGATAATGTTTGAAGTATTAGTGCCAGGGAGTTTGCAATATATACAAACGCTGGAAGCCAGATGATATGTGGCATGGTTTCCACACACTGGACAAATAGCACCCTGGATTCTGATTCAAGAGAAAAAAATTGCCCTTAATGTTTTTAATGTATTAAATTATATTTTTACATTTTCAGATAGATATTTGAGTAAAGCTAGACTGAAGAATAGCTGATATGTTGATTAATGTCTGCTTACACTTTTTCTCTCTGCTGCTGTCATAATGATCAAATGTACTATTTAAATTAAATTTCCTGATCCTAAAGTATATTATTATCTGCACTGCAGAAATAGGATTGTCTCAAAGCCATGTATTAGATTTAATTGTGTGCAACTGAAAATGCTTTTAGGAATTATAAGAAATGCACTCATGGTTAAAATGGAAGCATCTTTACTCCCACTGTTAACGTACAAATCAAAATGAACTCAATAAAGACTATATTAAAACAGTAAAAAATGAGATAAGTAGTTGATGCATGGGTACCAAACTGAATTTCTCACTCAGTTATTGCCAAAACTCTTTTTGAAACTGCCAGTTAATAAAATAAAATAAAATAAAACAAAATAAAATAAATTAAAGTAAAATAATATAAAATAAAGATTCTCTGTCTACAGTTCTATGTGATGCCAACAGCACTGAAGTTCAGCAGATGCTGGCTCTAAGTGCTTCTCATCCTATCTTTCCACCATACTGTGGATTCCCACTGTAAAAGAGGATGGCCAGAGGTTACATAGCTTCATAGAGGCTGGCACCTGAAAGATACGAGCTCCTGCATGCTTGCAGGAGCTCAGACAACTTGTTTGAAACAGGTACTCATGTCTACAAAGACCGTGCAGCACCTGTAGTAGGGAACAGCTCTTGCAAAGCGAGAATCAGAATTCAAATTTTATGCTTGTGACACATTGCACAGAGGATGTTTGCTGACAAGGCAAGGAGCTGTAATATGAAACTCACTAATTTAAACCGGAGGAGGAGGTTAATATTTGGGTTTTATTTTTTCTTTCCAGCAGAACTCACTTTGGGCCTGCAAAACTACTTGTTCGCTTCTTCTGTTTTACTCTGCTGCATAATTTAGCATTTAAAAAATACTGGAGAATGATGATGGTGAAGACCAAATACCAAAGAAAAATTCCTGCAAGATCTGCACCTAAGATGTTATGAACTCTCCAGGCTGTCACCTACTATATGCTGACCTTGCAAAAAAATGTGCTATTTTTTTTAATACTATTATTTGCTAGGGGTTTTGCATGAATATATAGAGCAGACTTAGACTACTTAGGCAGTTCACACAGCATGACTTAAATCGAGGTATGTATATCTTGTTTTTATCTACGCAGCTTTATTCATACACACTTCCACCAGCCTGGAGCAGCTGTGGAAAGATTTATATGTTCCTACACATAAATAAGCAGTGGGTAGTTTAGTTTGTTCATTGTTTTAAAATTCTTACCGTCACATTTAAGATGCTATTGTGTGAAGTTACAAATGGAAAATGGACAGCTTCAGAAAACAGGATGCCCATATATTTTCCAGAATAGGGAACCAGCAGTTAGACAATGGATGGTTTATAAAATTGTAAGAGATTAAATATCATTATGAATAGCTGCTTTAACAATTTTAAAACATTTATTTTTTCTCAGTTAGTCCTTCTCAGCAAACATCTGCGCACATGTTAAAGTTTATACTTAAGCCGAGTCCATAGGAGCTGCTGAGAAGTCACACAGGCATGGAAAAGGACCTCACACTCACAGCATTACATAGTGGGTGGCTTACAAAAACAGTGAAACAACCTTTAAAGCATAGTCTGAAAAACCTGCAGTAACAAGGAGATGTACATTTTACACAAGGATTCTTAAAGTACATGCTGATGAAAGCACTTTCTTTTTTGTTCTGAAAGAGCCATTTTAGAGTTACATGTAGTTCCACTCTATAAATATTACAGTTATTATTCAGAGTCCAGCAGACAACCTCCAGACAACAAGGGACTCTGAGACACTAATGACAATATTTTTTCCACAGCTGACCTTCAAGTATTTCTAAAGATGCCCAGTATCATTATCCTCGTCTTTAGACACAAAAATGAAGTAAGTTGCTCACGATCTCCCAGTAGGAAAATATGTGTCACTGCAAGAAACATGGAAGGCATTCGGCAGATTCTTGTTCCTTATGCTAAGGAAATGAAGGAACTTCTTTCAATCTTCTTGTATAGTTATTTTCCATTCTTTTCCCAGGGTACTTTTATGCAACAAAAGTTCTATTTTGTTAATGTATATTATTTTTTAGTTTTAGATCATGCACAGATTCTTGTAGGGGCCACTGCTCAATACCAGATCATCTTATTCACTAATGCTAAATGCTAATACATATTAATGTTAAATATAGGAAGAAAAAAAAAGCTTTTTTGAGGGGAAGGGCTTTCCACAGCTGTTGCACAGAACTTTGAATGAATTTCAGCATTTCATACTTCCACCTCACACTCTATATGTTTCAGTAAATGAACCATTCCCAGATTTGTGTGAAATAAAACAGTCTTAATGAATAATAACCAAAATATACATTGAGGAAAAAGTAAGGAAAATCTGATCATGAGGCATCACAACAAATTTAAAAGAATTTTTTATTCTGGTGAACTAAGAGTTTATTCCAAAGATTGCAACATGTTTAGTTTCTGCTATCAGAAGATGAAACAGATCGTGTCTGCCATGTAAGTACATCCATTAAATGGTTGAGAATATCTACCTGATCTGAAACATACTGAAGTCAATAGACACCTTTTCAACTGACTTCAGTAATTAACTTTGTCAAACAATCAATTCTGCCCTGGAAGTTCCTGCTGTCTTGATTAGCTTAAAAACATGATAAAACTTTGTCAAAGAAACATTTGGAAAACAATCTTTTGCCCTGCAAGAAATACAAAATCTATTCATTACTTGGTTCTTCCAACATGAGGCTTTAAAGCATGTAGATGCATTTTTTTAAGGCAATCACCAGCTAACGTCAGCTGCTACTTTAACAATATTCCAGAAAAAGAAACAAAATCCTTACCCCAAAACTTTGGTGGCCATGTGATTGGAGAGAAAGTACTGTTTCTATCCATAACATCCAAATAACAAATACAGAATTGTATGTCCACAGAGGAGCAATGGGTTTCTGAATGTTTGAGATTTAGCAGTTGAAGCAATACTTCCGTGCTGCCAGGGAACTGTGTTGTTTGCCTGAAAGGAAATGTATGTATCACGTTTCCTGCTTGTGGACTCGAATTAGCAAGTGCTTGCCTTATCTTGGAACACCACATGGTTCCCCAGACGGGGGAATAGTTTCCTTCTCGTCATTTCCTTAGCCAGAGCAAATTGATTCAGAACAATACCAAATCTCCTCCTTCTCTGAAACTTTTCAAGCCCCAAAATGTACAGAGATAGAGAGATGAAAATTCCTTTTTCTTTCCTTTAATGATTTTCTATGTTGAAGACCTTCCTTAAACATTCAAAAGAACTTGTATTTGGTGGGAATTTTCAATAAGGAAGAAATGTGTCAGGAGACTTTTAATAAACATGATTTCATTAGTATATTAATGTAGACATGAGGGGTTTTAAGTCGCTGTTGTTTCTCTTCTAGTATGAGGAACTAGCTAGGCCTGACAGTGTAACTGTAGGCTTTAGTATTTTAATGAGTGTACTTCAAATTTCCTTTGCCAGTTCTCTTCCTTTCCACACCCCATTCTAAAATATGAGTTCCCTGAACACAAAAAGACTTTGAGCTATTTGTTTAGACAGTTTTAATACAATGCAGTGTTAATTCCTGTTGGAAATTGTAAGTACTGCTGCTAAATGTAACAAATAGCAATAATAACACCCCTACAAAAGAAATTAACCAAGATATTTAATGACACAGACCCAGAATGAATTGAGAATGTATGATATCTTATATAAAATATAAGATATTGATTTATGGGATAAATGCTGTAAGACCTGATTTTAACTGTTTCCCTCTTAAATTCATTGCAGATAATGGATGCCCATAAGTATGCTGCTGTGAATAACCATAATCAAATACATTTAGTTTTCACAATGAATATCAGGAATCTCCAAAATTTAGGAATATTCCAATCTTCATATTTTTATATGGTATAATTTTGATGTTGATTTTTTCTTTGTTTTTTTTTTTTTTTTGTCTGTTATATTTGGGACTTTTTTTTGCATGAAAAATATTTTTAACAATACTGAGAAACTCTGATGGTTAATGAAAAATTGATGACTTTCAAAGCTGATTCTTTGGAAACACTAAGTTAAGCACCTGAATGAAAAAGATACAATTTTCAAATGTCTGTGAATGACAACTTGATAAGAAATGTGATTATTCAATTTGGTCAGGACACAGATACCAAAGCAGACAATAAATGTATACAAATTAAAGAATTGTATGACTACAGTTAGTTTTGTGTTCTGGAAGTAGATGGACATACAACAAAACTGAATTACTGTAAACTATAAAATGAGGAAATGTAGTTATTTTAGTTTACTGGATATTTCTATTGAGATAGATCATTGTAGAAAAGAATTAAACACTGACTTTAATGTAATCGAAAAGTGGCTGAGTTCAGACATGGCCACTTGTACAGACAATTAAATCTTCCATATTAACAAGTGCACCAAATATGAACCTTAATGCTTTGTGAGAAAGTCAACAGCAGTGCAAAGCAAAGTGACAGTTTCTCTCTGGATGTGGTATTCCAAGATGGGAATTCTCTCATTTTTCTCAAAAACAAATGGCTCATATGAACAACTGTCGACAGCAAAGGATCAGAGAAGCTGGACCACCCGAAGTGTTACCTGGGCTGTACATCCACAATGCTTATCAGCAAATTTTAAATGATTCAAGGTGAGGTAGGCTTGCAATGACTTGCCAAACAGGAGGGTCTCTCAGATCAAACTCTTACCTACTATTTACTCTTGCAAAAAAAGAGAAAGAATTGCAAGTTTATGCAGCACAACTTATCTAAAATGGGTATAGTGTATCAAATCCTGAGACTGAATCATAGAATCATAGAATGGTTTGGGTCGAAGGGATCTTAAACACCGTCTGGTTCAAACTTCCCTGCCACAGGCAGAGACACCTTTCACTAGGCCAGGTAGCTCAAAACCCTGTCCAACCTGGCCTTGAACACTGGACAGGGATGGGGCATCCACAGTTTCTCTAGGTAACCTGAGGAACCTTCCTCACCAAAAAGCTAAAGCAGGTTGATATATCATAAAAATTGTCTTAATTTATTATGTCAAATATTAGACTAATTTTGTTTCTGTTAATTTTATTTCTGAGTACTTCAAGTATTATAGCAAGTATAATTTTTCATTTTTCTCTATTGAAAAGCATCTTTTCCTGAAAATTAATTCATCATAACTTGAGGTACCCTCATGGGTAAAAAATGCTCATCACCATTCATTATACTGGCAAATATAACATGCTGTCACTTCTGACTGATGGGAGACAGAGGTATGTAGAGGACAAGCTGTCAAATACATTGCTGATGTGAGTTCAATTCCAATGAAATGAGCAGTCTTTTACTCCTTGAAAAGATGAACTGAATTCTGTCCTTAAAGGTTTTGATTGCATTGATTAAGTGAGGGGAGGTGCTTTGAATTTACAACAGCACAAGCCCTAAGCCTGAAGGAAGAGAAGAACTTTCAGGGTAAATAAATGCGATGGGTATCATCATGTATTAGAAAAATCGTGGGCAGCCAAACCGTAGGTAGACATGGTAGTACTGGTAGGTGGAGAGTCACCTGCTTCCTTGGCTATGTGCAGCCTTCGAGGGAAGACTTAGTACCATTGCCAGCCCACCCCAAGGGCAGCAGTTGCTTTCTCTAAGACATTTACTCTTTCCCTGCCTATATATTATGATTCTTCTCTTTATCTTTGCCCTCCAGTAAACCCCTGGTTGGCTAGATGCTTTCTGATTAAAAATACGGAGTGCAGAGATACTTTACTGGGTACCTAGATGTGAATTTATTTGAAACCACATTTTTTCAGCTAGCCAGGGCTCATGGTAATGATGTCTGGGTATGATCAGTAACCCCTACAGATTGAACACAGATCTTAGCTACTGTCAATCACTGCCAGACAGAAGGGTCATACCACTGTCACTAGGAGTGAAAAAGGACCATTGTGTCAGAATTTTAAAGCAACTTGCTGAAAACTACTTTTCACTTTTTGAGTTGTTTACTGTTACTGGCACTTCTTGAAGAAACATAGGTATATATGCTGACTTCTCCTGTGTGAACCCACAACATTTTTTATTTCAGAAAAAGATAAAAAATGAAAGAGAATAAAATGAGCATCCAGCGAAACCTTTTTTTTTTTCACACTTTCCATCTGGAGATTATAATTTAGGCTGGGATTTCCTTTAATTGTTTCATATTTCAGCAGCCTCATAGTTGTCCTTGGTTAGTTTTGCAGCTCGCCGGATGCATGAAGAAAAACTCAGGATTTTTTGTTCTTTGACCAGTGATGAAAAATATTCCTGTCTCCTATCGAACTATTAATTTTAAATGCTGACCATAGAGCAACAGAAACTACAGTTTGAATTTACTGCCTTTAATGACTCATTTCAATCCTCTTCAAGATCAAACAGCAGATTTCTTTAGTTTACCTGCTACAGGTTAAATAGCCTATTTCCACGTGCTGGCTCTATCAGAATGCACCTTTCTCTATGATAAGCCTACTGTGAATTAAAATAAATATGGCTGCAGTAACATCATCATCTCAGAAAAGACTTCTGTTTCCAGGAATGTATTAGATGTTGCTAAATTTTCTCCAGATTTTTCAGAGAAAGAATTGTGGCTAGGAAAGGCATAACAATTTCAGACATTCAGTATTTTGTGGAGATGTGAAACCCTAAGGACATAACATAAAAAGAAGGTCCCTCACTGCTAGTTATGTACCATTACATGATTGGGAATGCAACGTCACTGTCCAGAATATGAATGCACTTCACATTTACCAGAATACATACAAAATTTTTAGAACTAATATTCATCTCAAAATTCTTAAACCATGTTTTCTCCCTAACATGGGAGCTTTATATAATTCAGTGAAAGGTGACTGAGTGACATAAAAAGAGACAGACACTTTCTGCCAGCCAGACACTTTCAGATTACCAATATTTCTCATGGTATTTGTGATATTGAAGGCTGGTTTTGTGTATTTATAGGTGTGTGGGAAAGTGACAGGGAGGGAATTGAAAAGGGTACAGAGCAGTATCTATTTTATGTTAATGCTTTTCAGCACTTGTTAAAATTAAGGTGAGGAAGAAATAAAAGGTTTTTTTGAGACAGGTTTAAATGTCTCAAATACTTAATACTAAAAGGGACAGTGGGTCCGGCTTGAAGCAATAGTGGTAAACCATGTGGACACAAGCCAAGACAGTTTTAGCATCTCTGCACTGTATCCCACCAGCCAAGTAATAACTAGGGTGTATGGTGCTAAGGGCTGACATTACAGGGCTTGTGCAGGTCCAGCTGTGCACTAGGGTAACAGGGGTCACCCCTGGAGAAAGAAGGAGGTGAAAAGGGGAAGGGCAAAGATTAGTTTTTTTGGGATAACAGAAAGTCAGGAACTTCCTCTCTCACTGTTTTGTATCTGACAGCTTGCATGATATTTTGTGATTTCCTGCATGAAGATGGTGGTTCGGACCTCAAATTCAAACTTTTATTTTTATCAGGAGACTAAATTGTGAGTAACCATCCCAGACAGAACAAAACAACGTCATTATCTATCTCTTTTCTTATACATAATTAGTGGGGTAAAATGGGGGCATAAACTCACCCAGCTTCAACATCCAATCTGAAGCTTGATAAGTTACTGTAGAGGACATATGATGTGATTGCTTGTAGGGGCAGAGGACTGGACTCAGCAAGCCAAAAAAACACTTGGTTCTCTGTTCTACAAATGCACTTTGTGAACCAATTCTTGTCCAGCAGATGAAAAGGAAATCCACCAATATGCTTTCCAAAGTTTAGAAAATATTTATCCAATGGCCAAATTTGCCAGTTTAGCACAAATTTACAGTATAGGAAAGAGATCTGCCATTATGTCCTTAGAGTACAGCATCTTCTAGTCTTCACCTCTGATTCTAGATGTAAAAGGACCAGGCAATAGACCTCACAGTCTTTCTGTTCAGTTCTGCTCCCTGAGCCTCTTGAGCAGTGCTGAAAGCATAGCATTTAGTAGACTCATTATGTTAATTTGGGTTGCCATTCTACTCTTTCTACTGCCCGTTAAGAAAGGAACCAAGTAAGA